ACGCAAGTCCAGTACAGGCATTCTGGACTAATTTTATTGTGAACCAATACAAACATTGAGGGATTTAAAAAGTAATAATCATACAAAAATCTTATTCAGTAACACTCAAGGTTCGCATTTCATCTAAGTGCAGTATTTTCTGGTTTGTTTTGTGTTTTTTTTTCTTTTCTTTTTTTCTTTCAGTAATATCTCACAATTAAATTTTCAGACAGATTTCGTTGCCAGCACGACAGGCTTATATACAAAACAGTTACATAGTAGAGAATTTGTTCAGTGTCTTTACTGCGCTTGACCTGAAACACTGGTCAAACAGATCTTCTACTGACTTTGCAGTGAATATTCACATATGGGTAGGGGTGAAGACTGGAAACTATTAACTGGAAAGGCTCTAAGAGACTGAAAACAGTGTACTGGAGAAGAAGACATTGCGCACAGTGGTCTACAGTAATCACTACTATTTCTAGTGTGATATGTAGAAAGCTGAATGACATGGCTTTGCATATGTAAAAGTGTATATAACATAAAAACTTATGAGAAAAAACTGATTTCTCAGAAGTATTAGGCTCATCAATTTGAGTGTATAGAAGTAATATCATTTATTGGTTTTCATTTCTGAAATTCATAAGGTGTATTTGTCTTTACTTCCAAGAATCTCAGAAGAAAGCAAGACCGTTTAATTGCTTGATTTATCACTACTAAACAAATTACTTGACTTACATAGCACTGATGTTATCAAATATCATTAATCTAATTATCATGTTAATCCACTGTAAGAATTAGGGGAACTATTTAATGCAATTTTCTTACCTTAATAAACTAAATTAAGACAAGAGGCTAGGTACACCTGCATAGAGTGACTTAGATCTTGTATACATATGCTAGTTTCTCACTTACAAGTGATATTAACACGGAGGTTTATAGGGTCACATGTCATTAGTCATGGCTCACAAAAAGTTGGAGCGGACACTGCTTTGGATAGTGTAAAGCACTCCCTTTGTAATAGAAACAGCAAGCTAACTTCAACTGTGGAAAAAAACAGATTACAGCAACTTTTGAGAAGGGTTGCACTGCTCTGTTGTTGAAAAATGCGATTCTGCCAGTTGCCTCTCCTCCTCAGGTCTCACAGTTATTATTTTTCCCTATTCTTTCAGCTTAATGTGTTCAGGATATGACAACTCTTGTAATGATGAAATTTAACCTGTTGGTAAGAGTAGCTGTTTGGCAATTTATTATTTAATAATGACAATATAATTACTTAGGAAGCATTCGTGCTATAGCTACACATTCACAGTAGTTTCAGAAAAGTGCTGAAAGTATCTCTCTAAAATTGAGTAGCAGTGTATACTCCAAATCTCTCATGATAGTAATACATTTTAGATGCTTTCTCTTAAACAATGAAACTTCTCTCAGATTCTGTCTCTGTCTTAAAATTTTCACACTTTCTACTCAGGTCATGGACCTACAAGCATTTTTCAAACAAATAAGTAAGTCTCAGAACACTATTGTGGAATTTCAAGGTCTTAAGGTTTGTCTTCAAAGATAAACCAAGCATTATGTTAATGTCTCCCTGTCTCTCCCCTCAAAGTGAGGGAGAGAATATCTATACCAATAGTTACTGATTCTACAATACTGCATTTCTCAAGAACTGTGTGTTTTACACACAAAGCACAATGGCCACACAGAAGTAAAAATTTCCTCAATAGATATAACCCAATGGTTATAGCAAGACACAAACAAGACTTACAGGTTCTACCATCAGGTCTCATTAATATGTTAGATTTCATAATGTGCCTTTACTGTGCCTTGTTTTCTGCTTTTTATTAAAAGCAGTATTAATTATTCAAACATAACCATTAAGTGGTATGGAGGACATGTATTCACAACTCATTCATTTCCTATATACAAAGATACTGGCATGCGCCATGCCTAGGTCAGCCTAATTATAAATTTATTAAATATCTTTTCTTTTTGAACATGGCTAAATATAAACCAGTAAAAATATTAATCCTACCTTATTTTTTCCAGAATGCCACAAAAAACTAAATGCAAATTCCTCAAATCGTTGATTTCACTAGTCCTCAAATAATATTCTGCTGCAGCATAATTCTCTGTATGTATCACGATCAAAGTCCACTGACTCCTTTAAGAAAATGTCCATGGCTAGCACTGAAAATACTGAGTGACATTCAAAACAAAAAAGTGTTTTTGCTGAACCTCACAAGAGAACAGCAGGATAGCTTACTTCCCGGGCTTTAAGGCACACAAATCTATTTTAAGTATCTCAACTAGTCAATACATACAAAATTCATCATATCATGATGAGCTCACTTACTTACTCATCATCACTATATTATTTCTAGAGTGTTTTAAGCAGAGCAGACAGGATCAAAGATTCTGTGATGGAAGGAAAAGTTAGTAATACAGGTAAAATGTGTAGCACAGATGAGTCATTAGATGGTAGGGGGCTTCTGTAGTCAGTAAGGCCCTTTATTATTGCTGCTGTACTTTAAAGGAAGTTTTCTTTCAAGAAACAGTGATATTAATCAGTGGCGCAAAACGATCTTTGCAAGCTTGGGAGGTCCTTAAATGTATACCATTTGAGACAGATTTCACTTGAGTGACGAGTTTGGAATTCCAGAGCTAGCTTGCTGAGAGCTTGCATGGCTGTCATTGTGCAGCACTGCACTGGACAGAGCTGATATATCTAAAATAAGCAGAAAGCAGTATTAATACCATTTAATACAACATTTCAAAACTGTATCTGAACAGTGTTCTATGTTAATGCAAATTTGACTTTGTCATATGGTATATGCAGAGTAAAAGATGTGAATGCAACCTGACATTTCTTGATTTTTGTGTTCCCAACATAGCAAAATCAATATTTGCCTGCTGCAGTTTTGTGAAATACATATTTCTGTATTCATTGACATGATATTTAGAATTTTGATTACTGAAATGCATTTCACTTAACAATCTTGAGTTTAAGTAATTCAGTGAGTCTTTTTATCTTTTGATAGCTAGGAAATGGAAGGTGTCAGTTCTCACCAGTGACATGCCATCTGCAGGAACAAGCTCAAAGGTTTATATTACATTGTATGGGGATCGCAGCAGTTCGGGGCCTATTTTTCTTGATGGAGAGGAGGGAAAATTATTTCAGAGAGGCAATGAAGACATCTTCACAGTGAGTAATATATATTCATTGTGTTGCCCTCTTGTATCCTGCCAGACTACATGACATTTCAAAATCTATGTGATGAGAAGACAGTCAGTTTCTTGTATGGTATACAAATCTGGAAACAAGAAGCAGGATTTAACTGTAGAACTAAATCTAGTATCCTTTCCCACTCACCTATCCAAAGCTGATTTGATCCAACATGTTTCTTTTCTGTTTAAGGAGAACTACTGCTTAATTTACATAGTGCCCAAGAAAATACCAAGAAATATAAGACAACAGATATTTGTTTAGTTTTTAAATTTGAAATGGGACTACAATATTAAAAATTAAACAGAGAAGTGAAGAATTAGAGTATGGAGTACATTTTTAAATTTGTTAGATACCTGGTGCTTTATTTAAATTAAAGGCAATTTTTACACCTGTAATAAAGTCTATCTGTCTGTCTGAAGACGCTTCCGCTCCTAGTTACCCAAGTAAAGTTCTCCCCCATCAATCTTGTGGCATGGTGATTTAAGCAATCCAGAATAGGTCTCATCAAAAGCTGTATACCTGGAGTATGTATATGGGATTGTCAGTGAGTGTCTGTAGCAAGTGCCAGCTATAGGACTGTGTAACAAACAGGTGCTTCCATTGTTAGTATCCAGCACAGCAAGTCCTCTGCTGAGAAGTGGTATTTCATGGTAGCATTGACAAAGAGCTCACCTTTTTCACAATAGCTTTGTTGTTCACTCTGTTTCCTGCTCCTGTTATTGCAATTAATTTCACCTCCAATGGCTTTTAAGTGCTAAATATGGAGGCACTCTCTTCTTTAAGATCTAGGATTTCCCTTTTAGGTGACTATCCATAGGACTCAATATAATATGAGTGCCTACTCTGAAACATACAGAAAGAGAAAAACCTCTCTGCCTACACTAAATACTAATCTCAGTTAATGCTGGTCTGTCCTTCCTGCTCTGTGTTTTTACTGTTTATAACACTGAGTTCAGGGAAGTTCATGATACAGAGAACTCACCCACCTCTAACTGTAAATGAAAACATGAAAATGAATTCTACAGAACACAACAGAAGGACAGCAACTCAATCCTACATCATAAGCAAAAAGAATGATACAGCAAGGAGGGAAGACACTCACAGTGTGTTTCCAGTGCCTTGAAGATAAACTTTAAGCTTTCTATTTCTACACTTAAGTTCATAACTAGTTGTTTGAATAACCTTCACACAAAGTTATTCCCTCACCATCCTGTTATCTGTACAGGACACACTCATCCAGCCTGCCCAAGAGCTAATCTTTCAAATACAGCTTTTTAAGTTGATTTAATTGAATTGGTTTGTAAAAAGAAACATCAAAGCTGAACACAATTGTTTCCAAAATTGTAAGGCATACCCTCCTGGAGGGGTAGGGAGAAACTCAGAGGTATGTGGGAGGTGCTTGAGAGACAGAATTTTGTAGCAGGTCAGTGCTATAGATGCTAAACTGAGCCAGATTTTACGGTCAAGACATTTTTGCTTTTTGGTCGTACATCAGTTTGTAGTCGTCTCCCACTAAGGCTAATATTCAGTGAGGAACAAAACAGCTACAGCAGCATCCTGAAGTCATTTAAATGAGCTTGGCAGGCCAACAGGTTTGTTGAGGGTTGTGCTTTAAAAGAGCCAAGCTTCTGATTATTATCTGGAGCAAAATATTTTGGAAACACTTTTTAAAATATCAGAATATTTAATTCCTCTAACCAAAAATGTCACCTGACAGTTATTAGATGAATTTCTGGTGCATGTCTTTTTCTTTTAACAAATGCTCTGTGTTTCATGAGTTGTGTTTCTTTTGCAGGTTAATACTGGAAACATAGGATATCTCTACAAAATACGCATAGGACATACGAATGCAGGTGACTATCCTGCCTGGCACTGTGAAGAGGTAAAAGCAATAAGAAAGTATTTTATCTTTCCAAAAGCAGTCACTATGACAGTGGAGTCAAAATATGAGTCAGTAGAAAATCCTTGTGATAAGTATATCAGCCTCATCAAATGCTTGCAGCTTCATTTAAGAGATTATTTATGAAGGAATGTTTTTGTGTGGAATTAAAGGCAGATTATGACGGTATGTCTTGGATGTTTGTTTCCAGTTTATTGAGAGCTGTACATTGTGTTTCTTTAAAAATGTCTGTCTGGGCAGCAAGGAAGGCTACTTAAATTGACTGCTGCAATCTGAGTTTTCTGCAACCTTTGTATACTACCGGGAGTCTAGAGTTTGCTGAAGCCCAGAAGGTTGTTGAACTGAGTCTAGCCAAGTCCTCTTCAGATCTGTGGCTGATGCTGGGTTCTTAAGCACAACACTAGAGCTACATTGCAAATGTTTCCAATTTTATATCTCTGATGAGAAAACGATTCTTTTCCCTCATCATTTAAAAAAAAGAACAACAAACGATGCAGGTAAAGCAAAGAAAAAGCAAAGAGGATCAGCTAGTTCTGTTTCAAGCTTCAGTCGTGAAGCATAGTATGTAGGTTACTCAACTGGGAAAGAAAGGATCTGGCTTTTATCCTGAACATTGTGATGTACTATCTGTGCTAATGATACCCTATGCATGCCTGAAACACTTCCCTCTTTGTGCCGGTTTCTCGTCCTTCAGTTAAGAAAGAACAGCCTATGAAGGGCTTTAGAAGCTGCTGGTAAACTCATTGTTATAAGCATGGTTCAGGGTAAATCTAGATCTATCTAAAGCAAAGTGCCCACTGAAGTTAAATATTCACGGATCAGTGTTCAAACTCTGTAGCTATTTGATGCTTTAACTAGTTGTTTTCATCTGGGACTGAGACTGAGCAAGAAGACTAAGTAAGGCCTGGGCAGCGTTAGCTGAAGTTTAGGTAAGATCCTACGGGTTCATAACTCTAGCCAGTGCATGTCTACATTGAAATATTTTGTCACTGGTATTATCCCTCTGTCTAAGAGGCTTCATGCTAGGATTATAGGGATTATATCTCTTCCAATCCAGGTGAGGAATGCCTGATTACAAAGCCTAGGTATTTTCTTTTCCAGCTATGCTGTGTTTTGGGGAATGCTGGGGTTAGAATATCATTTAAGATACTTTTTTCTTCTGTCCTTTGGCATTTTACTTTTCATACGTGTGTGGGTAAGCAGTGAAAGTGTGGAAAATACCTTCTAGTTTTGTCCTGTGAAACAGAGGGACAGGTTACAAGCTGTTTCTAAAGTCTGTTTCTTGAGAAGCTAGAAGAAAACGGTGGGTAATCTCTTATAGAAAAGTTCATTTATATGCTTAATCTTGGTATTAGATATTTCGATTATCATAAAATCTGACTCAACAAATGGACCTTTGTGGACTGGTTGTACACCATCTATGAACAGAGGCTGTATTACTTCCTTTGTATAAGGCATACTCATTTAAATTGAGAGATTAAAGAAGTCTGACAAAAAAGGGAAAGAAAAAAATGTGAAGTACTTATTTCCCTTCTCACTTCTCAAGTAGGATATATTTAATGAAATCCACAGTAAAATTTTAAAAGAAGGATTCAATACTTCAGGGTATTCCATTGATTCTTGGCTTACAAATCTTTTTTTTTTCTCCTTACCAAGTCTCAGTCAATCAGGCACAGTTTTTAGGCAATGATCCATCAGCCAGGGTTAGGTCACTCCCTCTTTGCAGCTTTGGGCACAAAGGCAAAGAAAAGAAATACATTCAACCAAACACACTCTTCAAGTAATTTTTTTTTTTTTGTGTGTGTCATAGAGAGCCAAAGGACTATAGCCACTGATTTCTAGACTTCATAGAAGAGAAACAGCCTACAGAGAGCTGATCAGACACTTAACATCATTGTTTCTTGGGAAACCTACATTTTTCTAGAAGATCTGAAATTAAGAGAGTGCTCTACAATTGCAGAACTTTTCTGGTAGTTTCGCACACTAGTCCTCCATTGATATCCCATGGTTTCTGTACTGAGATGGTATCAGGCCCGCAAATGACCACGAAGTTGCTGCTTCGCTAACTCCAAGTTCCCTTTTCAAGATCCCTCAGTAGGTGTTGACAGGCCAAGATGTGTCAGTTTTTTCAGACAAGATAAATTTCTTTCTTTAAAGTTTAATATTCAAGCAGTAAACGTGGTAAAAGTATTTCCAGCATTTCTGAATTTGTTCAATATTCTAATTAAGGAGATTAGATTCTGCAAAGCACAGAGCAGGAGTGCAATTACAGGTAGAAGTATCTTTTCTTCTCTCTGCTGGTCCAAAATCTAGTGTAGCTACTGGTATAAATTAGCATAATTAGGAACTAATCTAATATACAGCAGCCTCTGAGGTGCTTACTAAGCAATACTTTGAAGTACAAAATAACTAGAGGTTCTTTCTTTCAGCTGGTGTGCATATGGTCCTTTTCCTGCTATATGCTAGAAGTTGGGCATGGAAGAAGATTGTGTGGGGCAGACTGGTGTTGAGGCTGTCATGGTTTATTATGTCACAAGCAGTGCTGAAGAATCAAAACCTAGTCCTTTAATTCCTGTTCTGATAAGAAAGTAAGTTAAAGGAATAGAATTGCAAGCATTGCGAAGCTTCCCAGTGAGAATATAGGCATTTGGTAAGCCATGCCACCTAGTGCCAGCCCATGTGGATATACCAACTGGAACATCTCTATATTTTATGGGACTGCAGCTGAGATGATAAACCCTGTTGCTTGGCTGCTCTTGAGTTACTCTGCCCGGCACTTTCGAATCTGACTGAGTGAAAAGTCAGATTTGGGGCAGTTGTACCCACGGAGCAGACACAAATGCAGATGCCCCAAACCCGTGGTTTTGTGATCATGCCACAGAGCTTTACCTGCTTAGATTTCAACAACATCCAACATAGTTTGTGTTCTGTTCTATCTGGACTGGGACCAGCAACTTAAATTGCAATTTTTTTTTGCTGTTTAGGTGCAGTTGCTGAACCTTTTCTCAGGGGAGCAGTTTTCTTTCCCTGCACATCGATGGCTGGCCTGGGATCAGGCTGATGGGGAAATATCTATGGAGCTTCCTGTTTTACAGCGGGGTCAGCCTATTCTGCCAGGTAAGCACAATACCACATCATCTGAGTCAGACCACAGACTGATGCTGAGAGGTGAGTTCATTGCGTTTCATCAAGCCCTCTATTACTTTTTGGCTACTACAACACTTTTTCTGTACTGTTTTTCTGTGGTTACTGGGCATACTCAGGTAAAAGTTTAAGAATCACTGGAAAGGAGATGAGAGAGTCTTTAATTCTTTGAATTTCACAGATCCTTCAAAGAGACTCCTTCTTCAGTAAGATTTAATCATTTGTGTTTGCTTTAAAATATAGGCAACACCTCACATACGCATAATTACCATGAAGCCATCATACATGAGCTGGGTCACAAACTCTATTTTCAATAACTGAGGACTATAGCTTCAGTATGACTGTTGTAGCTGCTGTTTTAGTTTCTTGTAAGTGGCTGAGACAGGTTTCCAGAATACTTTTGAGTGTGGAACAAAACTTTAACAATATTTCAAAAAACTGTGAGTGTTAAAAGCTCCATTACTCACATAAAGATTGTATTGTAATTCTAAAGGTGAATGATGCCAAACAATACAAAAATTATTTGGTGTTGTTGCTGTTATACTGTTTTAATGTCCTGCTCTATCATATCAATCTCCATCATTCATGCTTGATGTCATTGCTATATAGTCTCTCTGATTCAGAAATGGGAAGAGAGTAGAAAGACTCTGCTTGCTCTTCCATTCTTTCCAAATGGCATTTTCCTTTTCTGGCCTAAAGAAAGTGCAAGGGCATAGCAAGACCAACATATCCTAGGAGAGATGTGGGTGAAGGAGCAAGAATGCTGGGGAAGATTCCCATCCAGTAGGGTGTGATGATAAAGGGGGAAAAGTCATAACACCACCGGTATTATTTGTGCTGGAGCTTTCACTAGAGTAAGTCCACCTGGGACAGATTCCACACCCTCCTCTTTTCCCTTCCTCAAAAGATTGTATCAACTACAGAAGACAAGATTAAAGGGATGAGAGAAACTTCCATTCAAAGTTCTCTAAAAATTACGGAGTCCCTTTTTTCAGAATGTTTAATGCTATACCAACGCTTGATGTTATGCTTATGGTACTTTGTGTTGATCTTACAAAACTGAAATGGTAACAGGCATTTCAATAGTAACAGCTGTTGTGAGTGCAGGCTAGAGAAAGAGGATACAAAACAAATGGAGGGACAGAAGTCCAGAAAATGGCCCATGGATGTGGGGTAACATGCCATGGGACAGTCACTCTTGTAATAAAGAGCTGGGTGGCCTGGAGCTGTATTTATGACTATCTGTGATGACTGAGCACTGAGATTAAGAGCCTGAATAGAAAAGCAGAAAAACAGATTTGTGTCTCATTGATCTGTCTTTAAGAGAAAAAGAATAGCAGGAGAGATTTTCTCCAGTGCTGTAGTTAACAGCTGTAAATGTTTCAGAAAATGCTATAGAGAGAGGCTGGCCAGCCCTAACCACAATGATTTTTGTTCTTGAGTGGTTATGATCTTCATAGCCTTAAGGGCATGAAAAGCCTCAGAGGCAGTCAGCCTTGTTTCCTCATAGGTTTGGTCTCTTTAGTCAGGAAACTTTAATATTATTAGTGTAGAAGGACATACAAACACATTGGTATAAAAATCAAACAAACCCCCTTCCCTTTAAATAAATGTTAATTAATGATCATTAAAATGTTATATCAAATACGTTCCAATCCCCTACTTGCAGTATCTGCTCTTCCCTCTTGCTTAATATTCTGGGACATCAACCTTACCCATCTCCTAATTTTCAGCCTCTTCTTTCTAAGTAGGTTGTTTCCTTGTTTCTGAGATAAACATGCAATTAAAGATTTTTATTATCAAGTAATCTTGGTGCATTGTAAAGTACAAAGGTACACTTAAACCGTCATCTCAATCTGCATTTTGTAGTTAACAATTTCCCCCTCACACAAGAGAGGAAGAGAAGAACTTCTGTGCATTTCTGCCAGCCTCAGTGTAAGAGGGGTCATGCTGAAGGCTTTGGAGAAGGCAGTTTCATCTCTAACTTAGTAATTGAAAGACAGCCTCTGTGTCTTTTTGCCAATGTTATATTTCTGCATGACACAGTGAAAAGAGAACATAGCTTTTAACTTCAGAGAAGACAGTTTGATAACAGAACAGTGAAGAGGTCTGGATTCAATCTGAGAGAGAGATGATGAGAGGCACTTTAGAACCAATTTCTAAATACAAAGAGTCTGAAACACTTTCTAATTTAACAGCCTCTTTTATTCAAAGGAAAAATGTCTGAATTAAACTGTTTAGAAGAATTACATAGAGACTTTGTGGCTCTAATGCTGGGGGACTGAGCACCATTCATTTTACTTTTTATCCTCAACCATCCTACTTTTGTCCCCTCCTGCTCATGTTTTATGATCCAATCTTTAATTATACACTGGGGATAAATCAGTGTTACACTGTGTTTGGTGGCTGATGGACCATTGCTATTCTTCCTTCAGAAACTGGAAAGTAGATAGTTAATGAGGAAGTAAATTGTAGAAATAGAAAGTATTGTCGTGATCTTAGACATGGGATTGTTGTTCTGGAGAAATGTTCTCTGAATTTGCCGTGGCTTGTTCATGGGGTACCTGTTCATGTGGACGCTGTAAAGAAAAATTTGGGGAAGTAAATAGATCAGATGATGACACGGCAAAAGATGAGGGTAAAATACAGTATTAATTAACAGTTGTCAAATGAAAACTGTTTTCAGTATTGAGACAGGTGTACTCTGTGAAAAAATAGTACATAACTATGCTGCTACCTAAAGACTGTCAAAAGCTTCTGTGTCTTAAATGTGGCTGAGTTTTGTTCAAATGATAATAGCTGATCTGAAAAAAACATACATGTTTTCCCTCGTCCTATCTCTCATAATTCACAGGTATAGGGCAAAGAATAAAGTTTTGTAAATAATCTTAACCCTTACACTTTCTGATTTCAGAATGATGTATTTACAAATGTAGTGTTGTACACTTATAGACAAAAATAGATATAAAAGACAGTTCCTTTTTAAAATCTCTATTCTGCATACTTTTCCATGGAACATCTAAAGGAAAGAATTGTAGAATCATAGAATATTTAAAGTTGGAAGGCATTCATAAAGATCATCAAGTCCAACTCCCTGCTCCTTCACAAGACTGCCTAAAACTAAACCATATGACTGAGAGTGTCATCTGGATGCTCCTTGAACTCTGACAGGCCTGGTGCCATGACCACTTCCTTGGGGAGCCTACTCCAGTGACTGACCACCCTCTCAGTGAAGGACCTTTTCCTAATGTCCAATCTGAACTTCCCCTGATGCAGCTTCATTCCATTAAGAGATTCACTGTTTCCTAGGATAAAAGCATTATAAATACTTATTATAAAGCTGGGATGATTCCTAGGCTTACATGATGTAAAAAGAAGTGTAAAAAATTGTGAAAATTGCTTGAATTTTTAAGTTAGCTGTTTTAGGCCTCTATGCTGCATTTATTAATAGCATATGCCTATGGTACAATATTTCAGCGGAGTTTAGAGGCACCCAGTCATCATCTCAAAACAAGTTAACTCTGATGCCAGAAGCAAACTAGCACTAATGTTCGGTGGGGGCACGTTAAAATAACCTGTGCAGAGTGCTTACTGTTTTAGCTAGATTATTACCATCATTCAAACCAAATTGTTTGAAGACAGCTTGTATAGTAACCTGCACACAAATGAGATGTAAATAAATGTGAGATAATCATAAAAAAATAAGCATAAGGGAAAAGTTGTAAACACTGAATGGCTATTTAACACTGATCATGAATAAATTTTCACCAGTTATTAAAAGATGTTTGTCCACCAGAAGAGTAAGATGTGGGAGCAACCTCCTTTAGAGGATAACAGTCAAGCTTAATAACATATTTCAAGTGGAAACCAATAATTTAATGATAATAATGTTGATGCTGTTCTAGACCCAATGGGCCAGAAACTCTTTTCTACTTGCAAGACAGAGAAGCACAAGGACACCTACATTTGGAAGAAGAACTTTTGTGCCAGAAAATGAAGTTTTCTCTCCTTGTTTTGTTCTCTCTGTACCTCACCTGGTCTAACAAAATTTCACTACTGTATGTTGGCGTAAACTTTGTCTTTCCCCTGTTTCTACTAAAGGTTATAATTGCATGTTTTTATCTTAATTCTGAATTTCATGGGGTTCCTACATCTGCATTTTAATGACCACATTTTTCTGTTGATACGTGTTTTTATGTATTGTAGCATTTATTCCAGGTTCATTGGGTTTTGACTCAAATTTAATTTTATTTGCATTATCCATTTCTATTAAAGAATCAATTTATTGAATTTAAATCCTAGGTTTTTCCTCCCAAACTTATAGACTTTAAAGAATTTCCATATGGAATGTGATAGAGGAAGTCTATACTCTGATCATGCATGAATCAGTAAAATAATGACACAATGCAGCTTTCTGAGTTCTCATGTCCTAGAAAACTAAAACCATGGTGCTAGATTTTTGCTTATTTGGTTAACCAGTGCATTCAAAACATAAATGGCTCCTGTTGCTTGTTACAGTTTTGATCTCACCACTTATGGTGAGGCTAATCTTGGATTTATGTTCTTTACCTTTCAGCTTTGTGATTATTTCAAATGATGCTGCAGGACAAAGACATACTATTGTGCATTTAAAGTTCAATTCTGTTTGCATTCCTCACAGTGACAGTCTAGGATAAAAAGCATAAATGTAACACCAAAGGAAGCTCATACATTATTTTACTTAATATTGAATTGGATTTTTAAGGTTTTTTACTCTAACGGTCCTTGACACAGATGTATTTGGCACATTCACAGCTAGATGTTATTGTAGCTATAATAGTGTTTGTGGTATGAAAGGCTGTCATCTTTAATTGTCAGTGACTGTCTATGAAGTGCGTGTGACAACAGGAGAACTGTGGAATGCTGGAACCGAGGCTGATGTCTATATTTCTGTCTATGGAGAAAGGGGTGATACAGGATCAAGACAGCTGCGCAGGTCACAGAAATCCAAGAAATTTTTAAAAGGACAAGTAAGTGAATGACAGGGCATTTTCTGAAATGTTTGGCTGACTTTTCTCTCTCAGCTGCGTGGTTATCCCAGGCGAGGTGCAACTAGAAAAGTGATAATAACTATTCCAATGTTTCCCCCGAATTCCATACATAAGAAAAAAATATTTTCTAAAGGTATATCAGTGCTTTTGGAAGTCAGAATTTTCGTTTATAAAATAGGCAAGCTGTGTACTTTTGTTTTCAGTTCTTCTAAAAATATAATAACTGAAGAGAAAATGAAACTTTACATTTTATATCTGCATTTCTAATGTTGAAGTCTACTCTAATTTGTAACTGTTTAGGCAATTTAGCTTTCAGCAGGTTCCTCTTTCTTAACACTTGTCTCATTCATTTGAATAGAACTACTCCCATTAGCAAAGTGATCAGACTTGCTTACTTTTATTTCAGGAAATCTGTTCTTGGTTTGTTCTCACCTTACCATTAGCTGATATTTCAAAGGATGACCTTGACAGAAGAGATCTATGGGTTTATGGGTTTTTGGGATTGCATTGCTGAAGAAGGCTCTGCTTTTTTGATTTCACTGAAATTTCGTTGATTGATTACAGACTGACACCTTTGCTGTTGAAGCTGTGCACCTTGGACATCTGTACAAGATTGTTATAGGACACAATGGTCTTGGATCAGGTCAGAAATCTCTCAATATAGTCACTGAATACTGCCTGCAAAACTATTAACCTTTTCTTTGTAAAACAATATGTATTTCTAAAATCGAACGTATGAAAACATTTTAGAAGTGAAAGACAAAGGCGTCCAAGGAAACTGTTCAGGTGATACAGTTAACTTATTGTATCGTCTCAAATTTTGATTTTTTTATGTTCCCTTTCACTATACTCTCAAATATTATGTTAAGGATACCATCTGCTACTGTTCTGTCATTTTTGACTAATCCCTATAGAAAAACTGTGAAGAGGAGGAGTGTCTCCATGATAAGACATTGAATACGTCTTGTGTGCAGTCTGTATTATAGATGAAATGGACCATTACAATTTTAGGTTCATTAGCATCATCAGTTATACTGTAAAGATACAGCTGGAGATTTTGGCTATGCTATCTTGCCATTAGACATCCATCTAACAGTGAAACTCAAATTGCTTGCAGTCACAAGACCTGTTTTTCAAACTCTTAAGCCTAAATATTGTAAAGCATATCAATTTATTTTGAGCCATGATAAGCTGCTATCTACTCTTGTTGATATTTTGATTGGCAAAACAAATAAGTCTCATACAACAACTGTATTAAACAATGGGGTGACGTGCAGCACTCAGGTTCCTGACAGCCAGAGAGGGACCTAGCAGCTTGCGGGCCCATAAGCAAGCTCTACAGTGCCTAAAGCAGGTACTGTCTTCTCTTCAGCCGTCAGGGGAGCAATGGCTCTAGCAACCTGTCAGTGGAGCTGGAGATTTTGCAGTTCCAGTAGAAGACAGAAAGCCATAGGAAGTCAGACTTCATCAAATCTGCCTCTTATGAACTAATTTTTTTGTTTGTTTTTTAATTTATTCTAAGGAAACGGCTGGTTTCTGGACAAAGTTGTGATCAAGGATCCTATAACAGATTTGGATTATACTTTTCTTTGTCACAGGTTGGTGGTGTTTCCTTTGGGTTAGATTTTCAATAAAGTTGTAATTACTCATAGTTTTTCTTCTGAAATGTCCTGTCAAAGGAAAGATGTGCTTCCTAAAAAGGGAGCTGAAAAGGTCTAACTCTTTTTACAGCTCTGGGTTGTACCTACCCCAAATCTCTGGTGCATTTAAGCTAGTGAAAAAGTAATAAAAAATTCTTTCTGGGAACTTTCCATTCTTGCGCCTTGTGATCTATTCAAGATGCACTTTTTTGACATGTTCCCCACATCCAATATCTTGGATCTGATACTAACAGGTCCATCCGTTCTTCCATGTCATGTGACGCAAGGCTTTTCGGAAGAGTGGGTTACTGTCTCTCTAGCATACTGATCCTACTTTACTGAAGTTAGTATGGAGATTAACTTGGGATTCAATGAGCTCAGAATCAGACTTTAAGGTCTTATGAAATGTCTATCACAATCACAGCTACCTGACCACATCTCTTTTTCTCATTTGCCTTGCAGCCTGCCACTGAGCTGCGACGTAATTTGAAGCAATCCTAATTATTTCCCTGCCTTTTCCTCTGCAGATGCTGGTGTTCTGAATTGTCTGTTCTATGACTGATTTCTAATTTTATCTATGCCTGATTAATTCTCAACACCTTATGGAAAAATTATAATTGATAAAGATCAGTGCAAATATTAGGAACAGTAAAGTCCAGTCACGTATGAATCTAGCTGCAGCTTGCCAGTGGCATCTCAATTCTATTTCCTCCTCTCACTTCTCTGAGTGAATAAATAACTGCCTAAGACAGCTCAGAGTGAGCGATGTGCACACTGAAACTGATTTATGTGTGAGTAAGGAATTTCTGCCTATCAGATACAGTACCTCATCTTTGCCTGACCTAATTTTGATTCTGTATTCTAGATGAGATGAACTGCTATGAAGAGATCTATAATGCTAGCTTCATGCATAATTTAAGGAGAGTTCAAATTCATTTCAGGCAGAAAAATACAGAGTATGTGCTAGTTATTTTTAGAGCCTGGTGCTGTGCTTGCTGATCTTGCTCTCACACATGTGAGTAGATGTGAAGCAGGTACAATGACATTGTAAAAGTATGGTTCAGACATGGTAAAGTGTTGCCAGTGTTGGATTTGCCTCCCTGTAGAGGGATTTTCAGGGCATGGAAAAATTTGCGTCCTGCTGTAGCCTTCTTGCAGTCAGGAAGAGCAATCATCATCACTGCACCTTTTGTTATTGATCTGGGGTCAATACAAGTTCTCATATTTTTAATAATTGACTTAGGCCCTTGTATCTCAGTCCAGGAAAGCATTTATTTGTAAGTTTCATCTAGAACAAACAAATAAAACCATTTTTGACAAAGTTAGTCTTTTTTCATTAAAGCTGGATTTTTGTATTGCTGTTTGTCAGCCTTGAGACTTTAATAAATAGAATAGGAAGCATCAGCATGCAAGTGCCATGCATACAGTATTGTAGGAGTTGCCAATCAAGGTTATATTACTGAAATGGTTTCTCTTTTTCAGGTGGCTGGACGAGGGGCAGGATGATGGCAATATTGCTAGAGAACTGACTGTGACAGATGACAGCATGTTTCCAGGAAGTAAGTGAAAATTGGTGGGGAGGAGAACCCAGCCTCGCTGCAGCTGTGCCAAACGGAATGAGGATGCTCTGTAAATTAATCAAATGGTTTTTATCTGTACAGGACAAGAACTGGAACTCAAGAGAGAAGAAACTGTAAGAATGGACCTTTTTATTTTTATTTAAACCATTCATATAATTCTTCGAGAGAAATTGGGTCAGTTGTTCTCATGTATATCAAATTCCTGTGTATCATCTTCTCATAAGTCTTTTCTGCTTGTTGTTTACACAACTAGTGGGCTGCCGAAAAGTGGAAATTTCAGAAAGGCAATACACTTCAGTTTTACAACAGGCTTATCCGTGGCTTCGTTTGCCTCAGTCCAGATAGCAGAGTCAATGCTCTTGGCGACAAGAAAAGCAAATACGGTAAAGTATTTCTCGTATGGATGTATGCATAAAAGATACAAGAAAGGAGGACTTTGTAGTTTACTGTGCTCTCATATAGTGATTCCTGTAATGAGTAGGAGTAGGTAATTACAATAAACCTTTTCTTTACTTAAAATATTTACATGTATTAATGGCTGTAAGAACTCAGAAATTATATACTTGGTTTACATACAAAGCACAAAAAAATGATCTCATACAGGATTTTGTCACTGGCTTTCCCATACCAAATAGAAACTTCTTGTCATCTGTAGTTTAGTGCTCCCATGGCACTACTGTGGCAAGGACAGCTACAGTCTTTTGAAACTAGATCCATCTAAGCTAACAAGTTCAAATTTCCAGGTATAGCTCATTAATAGGGAGTGTATATATATGTGTGTGCATGTGTGTCTATAAATTCATTTTGTTCCATCCTTGTCATTGATTTTAGTGGCACTCTTCCAGTTCCTCCTCTTTATGAGCTCCCATCCTACTGAGTTACTATAATACATATGCTATTAGGTGTGTTATCTTGGTAGTGATGGAGCTACTCAGCCTTTCTGACATCTTCCCAGAGACCTTACACACATCTTTTTGAAAGTGATAGAACACAGAATCTTTCAGGACTTACCAAAGAGTGCATGGAGAGTGGTGAAATCAATACTCAATAGCATAGCCTATAAAAGCACCTCAGAAAAGCTGCACCGGAAAACTCAAATGTATAATATGGGAGATCAGTAATATTACAAACATTGAAATTAGGTGTTACTCTATTTTACTAAAGATCTTCTTATAAGTTAGCAGTTTTAGTGCTTGAATTCAAAGTATTTGTTAACTCAAACACTGACTAACTCAAATCTACCATCTCTGGCTTTAAGATTTGCAAGTGTCTTACATGTCTAAAAGCAGTTGCACAGAATGGTAGTGTCCTTCCTCCAAGGAGATCCATTTAGGATTGCAAACTGTGAATTATTTGGTGACAGACCAAATTACCTGTTTGTAGGAATTTTGTGTCTAATCTGTACTGATGCTGCAAGCACATCTTTGCTGCTCTTTAATGCTGTGTCTTCAGCCGATGAATTGTATCTGATTTGATTTAGACAAATCAGATCATTTAGACACCATAATCATATGTATATCATAGAACTTCATAATCTAATATGCAGAATTCAAGTTCACACTGCATACTCTTCCCCGATTTTCATCTAGATGCACTATCCTTTCTATAAATCTATGCATTTCTAGTAGTATTTTTTCAGATATAAACAAGACATTTTTATTGTATTCTGTACTTTTTTGGTACATTTTCACTCGCTAGATGTAAAATTTGTATGAGTGTTATCTCCACAGTTTTAAATGAATAATACGTATAATTGTGCAAGTACCAAATCTGATGCACAACTACCAAATATCAGTATTTAAAGACATAAATATAATTAAAAATATTAGAAAATTGGTATAAACTGACTGTTAACTAATTTAGGTTGAAAGTCAGAAAAATGAGTAGTGTGATCTGCAACCTCCCAAGGATTTAGTAATACTTAGGAGTTAAACCGGTAATCAAAAACAGCTTGATTTTTCTAAACAATGTGATAAAGTTGCCCTGATATCAGAGGAACAGAATTAGTGACACAAGGATAACCATGTGTTGTTTTTTTTTTCCATAGTTCAGAGTACAAAATGTACACAAGTACAAAATGAACACAGACACCTATCATGCAACTCTTCTGCCTTCAGAACAACATCTTTCTCCTTTAACTTCGTTCAGATTTGTTTGTTTTACTTATACGTAAAAGTAATTTACAAAGTGTCTAGAATAGTCATGTGCAGCAGAAGTCCGCAAGCACTGACTTGGGAAAATTGTCGAAATTTTCATTTAGGGGCCTCACTTCTTTGTGTGTGCTTTGGAATAAAGTCCTCTGACATAAATTATCTACCCATCTTTTCTAACAGAAAACTCTGCATTTCAGATACTTGTAGAACTGTTTATTTGTATTCAGCAGATCTAAAGCAATATAATTCAAAGGCCTGCAAAGTGGTGATGGCAAATTTTATGAGATGATGATTCAGTCTAGGGTTTTTTAATTTCTCAGGAAGCTTTATCTCTATCTGAAAGCAGAGACTCATTGTGACAGTTATGTGTCCTGCCTATCTTGCCCCAAGGACTGGAAGCCCCATCTGTATTTTATGATCTGTGGTATCATCCAGATGGGCACAATTTTCCTTGGCTGTGTAATTCTCATGGTCCCAGTGACATCTGAAAGTCTTGTGTTATGGACACCACAGGAATCCTTCAGAGAGAGCTGCGTCTTACAAATAGGCAACATAATGTATTGATAGAACCATTGTTTAAAAAATCAGCTGTTGCTGCTGGGAACAATAAAAATGACACTACTTTAGCTTTCATCAGTGTTTTGCAGCTGTAAGAGGTAATTGTTTGGAAAATTGGCTAGATTTAAAATTTTAAAAGCCATGAGCTATGCTGCAAGATTTGCTTTACAAATTCTAATATGGATACAGAAAAAATGAATTCTCTTTTCCTACCTGAGAGCTTTATGTTCCCTACATCATCTGTTATTTATCATGTAAATTCATTGCTATAGCCCAGTTCATTATGCTGGAGTCCTCAGCTCCTTTTTATGGCTTTTTAAAAAATATATATGCTGATATAAAGACATTTGTTCCTTATCACTAGCTCTCAGAGCTTTTCTCCTCAAGGCAGTGAAATAGACAGTAGTCTCTAGATACCCTTTCCTGAAGGAATGAGAAGATTCATTGATCAGAGAGGTCAACCTGTTGAGTTAAACACTTGATTCATTCTTTTACCTTGAAAATGATAAATCATCGTTTGTAATTAAATGCAAATATGAATTAATATACTTTTGTACTTCTAAAATTTTTTTCATTTAACTCTTAGGTCTTTTTGATGTAAGTGTCAAAAAGAGAAATGTATGTATATTCAGTAGTCATCAGATGCCACATCTTGCTCTTGCTCTTGTCAACGGCCAAGTAATTGGAAAGGTAGGAAACGCTGTTACTGATTTCTGCTTCATTATTACATGTCATTGTCTTGATTAAAAATAATTCTGTTTTTAATCTGTCTAATAAATAATTGTGCTTCCAGTCAATAAGGAGTTAAGAATTGCAGAACTGAACCCAGGAAATTGCCAATGAATAGGCAAATTTAGACATAGGGCTTTGTTTTCTCACAGTTTACTTTTTACTCTTTGGTAGGATTTTTTAATAGACTAAATGATTTGATGCAGGAATACCAGACTATTCCAATTTATATTGGCTTGCCACATGCTGACAAAGTACCTGGAATGCCCTAATATCTCCCCATTTATTGGATAAGTATAAATTCTGAGGATTGATTTTAAATACCCATTTTTCCTTTGTGTCTTTCTAAGTAACGTCATTAGCCAACTGATACATTCCAGATTTGTTTTGATCCATTTTGTTTGTTTCATCTCATCTTCAAAGTCTTACTATTGCCTTTCTTTCTCAGCACTTGTAGTACAGAAGTAGACAAATGGAGTTATAGAAGTTAGTTCTTTCTGATGAAACTCTTCTACTGATGATTGAAGAAGCTGTTTCCCTTTCACTTTTTCGAGTTCTTCCCCCTTATCCAGGGAATAATTTCATAGTCAAAGCTGGTCCCTTTCTTCTTTTACATGATGTGCATGGGCATTAGTGGGAATAGAGCACTCTCAGTGGGGTTAGGTTTCTCAGTGGGGATAGTGTGAGGCTGCCAGGCAACTGTCAGGTCTCCTTGCAGTACTTTGTAGTGTTTGTGTTCATTAGTGTAATTCTGATAGAGAGAACTCCTTGTCTGTCACATTACGGTATATCTTACTGCAGAGAGGTTACTAACTTGATACTTAAACTTGAACTTTCTCTTTTCTGCTTTTCTACCGACAAGCTTTATGATTTTGAGCAAACTGTGGAAAATCTGGATCTCAATTTCCTTTTTTTCTTAGTTGTGCTAGATGTTCCTTTTCCCAGGGAATGTGAAAAATGTTGTCATTTAAAACTTTCTGAAGTCCTTGGAATGAACATAGATAAATGTAAAACAAAAAGGCAATACAAAAATTGCAATTGACCTCATGATACATACTTAAGTATTGGCTTGTTTCACAACCACTTCTAAAATCCATACAATTTTTCCTTTACTTTTAAAGGTGTATTGAATCTGATAGACAATTTTTTCAAGTATGAAGCTTTTTCTTCAGATAGTAGTATCTTGGAAATGAAAACTTTCCTTAGTTTGATTTAAATATGAGAATGATGACGGAATTGATAAAATATTAAAATATGTATTTTGTGTCTTTTATACAATGGCATTACATAGTCTGCAAATCTGAACAGACAAGCATGGATGTGTGTTACTGTACCCCTTTATGTAAAACTTCTGACTCTTTAAGTGTTATCTGTGAGAAACGTATAAGTAAATGAGGAGTAAAACTGAGGCAAATGAAGGAGGGCTGGTGGCAGAGAGTTGCTGTAGTTCATTTTCTGTCAGTTTTATATTCCAACCTTCTTTGCTGCATTTGTAGGCTGAGACTCGAGCTCTCTCTCTGATTGAGGCACCCAGGTATCTTTCATGTTATCCTCAGATCTGTGTTGTCTTAAGATGGACTCTTTCTGTGCTTTGAAATTCTAGAGTCACAATTTTGGGACTTTGGTTAGGACTGCAAATCTGAAAAGTATAAAGACATTTTCATACTGGACTGGTAGTGTGGAAACCTGAACAACACAAACTATATTGTGATACTCTTTCTGCTCTGGATTTTGCCATATCTAGTAGTTCATATACTTTATTGTTCCTCCTTTGATCTTGTTAGAGCAAAGACAAGACTTGCTGTGAGCTTTTTGTTCACCTTCAACCAAATGGTTGTGCCATTCTTGAGTCGGCCAGGAGCCCAGGTCACACTGTTACTTTCAATCTTCAAGGCGAAGTAGCTGATGAAACAACAGGATATGCAGAACTTTCCAACGAATTTGTTGTGCATGTCAAGGTAAGGTGGGCAGAGGGAAATTGAGAAGACTCCTCTAA